ATATTGTCAATTTTTAGGTCACAGTTAAATACTTTGTCACAGATAACCAAATACTTGGTCACATACCACTGGCACTACTTTAGCCACCACCACCACACAAAACACATCTACCACCCATAGCCACCAAACAAAGTACGTCCACCACCCCAATCGCCGATCTACCACCATAGACGCCACCACACAAAACACCTCAGACACAAATCAGATCCACCACCACCTTCGCACTATCGCCCAGCCTCCAGGACAACCACCACGGCCAACATCACCCCCACCCAAACACCACGACAACCAGTAGTGACACCGTCATTTCCAAAACCACGACCACCAAAAACAACCAGATCCGCCACCACAGTTAAATAGCCGCTGCACAAAACACCAACATCACCAAGATCCACCACCACCGCAGCCGCTAATGGGTCGTCCTACTCCACCACAGCGGTCACAGCCGCTACCAACAACCACAACCGCCAATTCATTTCTTCGAATCTGATCTGCAACAACCACAATCAGATCACATCCTCTGTGCCATCTCACACGCAAAGCACCCACCACAAGAACCAGAATCACCACTGTCGACCATCGCACCCACCGCACAATAGATGAATCAAAAACAAAAAATTCCCTAAAAATCTAGAGCTCAACCATTGTTTCTAAGGCGACGCTGCTGCTGCGCCGCTTCAACATTAATGGTTGAGTTTCCCCATCCATCTGGTTTCTATCTTAGAGAATGGATGGGATGAAGATTGTCCCCCACTAGCCCATGGAAGAACAGGTGCAGCATAAGTACTTCCAGCAGGTTTAATAGCCAAAGGCCGTTGGCGAATGAATGGATTCTTGGAAGCAGTAGAAGAGAACAATTATCTTTTGTTCTCATGAACCTTCAAGTTCTCTGCCCTCATGTTCAATACGTCCTTGAACTCCTTTGTGGCACTCATCAAACGATTCTTCAGATCATCAACGACTGTTGTAGAGTGAGTGGTGGTGTCACTTGAAATATTACCACCTCCATTTCGTGAGTTGCATAGAAGCTGGAGATCAACTACAGCAGAATTAAGTGCAGTTATATCTTGCTTGATAACTTCTGTCAGCTCCTGAATTTCCATGGTGGGGTCGTAAAAAACTGAGGTCCTCTTAGCCAATTTCGTAAGCTTAGATAGTTTCCGCGAGGTCTGGTGAATCCCGAGCCCAATCTTCGATGCCTTACGATTGAATTCCGACTGCATCGCCATGGGCGTCTGCAGCTCCTGAGGTTTCAATCCGCTGCTGGTTGGCCCATTTTGTGGGGAGTATGACTTGTTTACCTTATCCTCTATGCCCAGAAACTCTTGCGTCTGATCCTTAATCGGCGCATTCGCACCTTTCCCCCGCATTTTCTCAAATGAATTCTAAATACCACAACAACATAACACCAAAACCCAAAAAGAAAAAAATGGAGATCGAGTATAGTTCTTGGACACGAAAATTACAGATCAAAACTGTAAGTGTTATGCCTTAGGTTCAATCAACTTTGGACATAANTTGTCAAATTTTTAGGTCACGGTTAAATATTTGGTCAGATAACCAAATACTTGGTCACATACCACCTGCACTACTTCAGCCACCACCACAACACAAAACACAGCCACCACTCATAGCCACCAAATAGAGCACGACCATGACCCCAACTGCTGATCCACCACCACACAAAACACCTCAGACACAAATCAAATCCACCACCACCTCCGCACTATCGCCACAGCCTCCAGGACAACCACTACGACCAACATCACCACCACCCAAACACCACGACAACCAGTAGTGACACCGTCATTTCCAAAACCACCACCACCAAAAACAACCAGACCCGCCACCACAGTTAAATAGTCGCTGCACAAAACAGCACCATCACCAAGATCCACCACCATCGCAGCTGCTACATGGTTCGTCCCACTCCACCACCGTGGTCACAGCCGCCACCAACAACCACAATCGCCAATTCATTTCTTCGAATCTGATCTGCAACAACCACAATCAGATCACATCCCCTGTGCCATCTCACACGCAAAGCACCTACCAAAAGAACCACCATCACCACTGTCGACCACCGCACAATAGATGAATCAAAAACGAAAAATTCCCTAAAAATCTAGAGCTCTGCCGGTGTTTATGAGGCGATGCTATTGCTGTGTCGCTTCGAGCAGTGAGCACCACTGCGTCTGCTCGTATTGCTGACGCTTGCAATAGTCAAATAAGGCCATTATGAAGTGACGCTACTGCTGCTGCAGCTTGTCATCGTCGATTGGGGATGGGTTTCAGTTCGATGAGAGCGGGTACGGTCGACCACCGCACAGATCGGCTGCTGCAAGCGATGCTCGAAGGCGTCGCGTGAGCGTCGTCGCCTTCCAGTGTGGTCTTCGTCGAAGGCGGCCATGTGCGAAGGAGAGACGAGAGGGAGAGGCGATGGGAAGAGACGGGAAGAGAGAGAAAGAGGGAGATGATAGTGGTATTTGATTTTTAGGGTTTGAGGTTGAAATTTGTTTAGATAAAAAAAATTCCTTTTTAAGTAAGACTTTAGGAAATGACATATTATAGAGTTTGTTCTAGTCTACATTGATGCTCATCACATGATTACCCATGATATGTGACAGAACATAAAACATACATGTCACAAGCTTTATCCTTCTTATCAGCCATGCTGCTCATAGAAGGAATAATGCTTTTTGAATAGATTTCCAAAATTTCATTCTTTCAATCAACAAACTCCAGTTATTAGAGTCCCACATTCTGAAGTGCTTCAGCTCTACTCTGCATGTAGCTATCTTGTACTAGAACCAATTCCTGTTGCTGTTGATGTTGCTGCTGCTATGACATTAATGGTTGAGTTTCCCCATCCATCTGGTTTCTGTCTTAAAGAATGGATGGGATGAAGATTGTCTTCCCCACTAGCCCATGGAAGAGCAGGTGCAGCATAAGTACTTCCAGTAGGTTTAATAGCCAAAGGCCGTTGGCGAATGAATGGATTTGTTGGATTCTTGGAAGCAGTAGAAGAGAACAATTGTCTTCTGTTCTCATGAACCTTCAAGTTCTCTGTCCTCATGGTCAATACGTCCTTAAACTCCTTTGTGGCACTCATCAAACGATTCTTCAGATCATCAACAACTATTGTAGAGTGAGTGGTGGTGTCACTTGAAATATTACTACCTCCATTTCGTGAGTTGCATAGAAGCCGGAGATAAACTACAGCAGAATTAAGTGCAGTTATATCTTGCTTGATAACTTCTGTCAGCCCTTGAATTTCCATGGTGGGGTAATAAAAAACTGAGGTCCTCTTAGCCAATTTCGTAAGCTTAGATAGTTTCTCCGAGGTCTGGTGAATCCCGAGTAGGGATGGCAACGGTTCATTTCGGCCAAAACCATAACCGCACCACCAATTTTTTGGCCGTACCATAACCGCACCATAACCACGAAAGTCGGTTCGGTTTATATTTCGGTTCAGTTCGATTAATAACCACGA